TATATATATATATATATGTGTGTGTGCATTTTTGTGCATAGAAAACAACAGACTATGAGAAGTAGTCAGAAGCTCATAAACACTTATAATTACATTGGACAGGAGTCTAAACAGGAAATGGATGTTGAAGCGGTCACTGGTTGCTGCAGCTTTCTTAGCATTGAGATTTGAAGATTTGTTTTACCTCCCTTACCATCTTGTGTACGGTGGAAAGATAAATATGGATGCTCGTCTAGTCTAGTTTCTAAAAGGTGCTTGATTTTAAATGTTTTAATTGTTGCTCTGACCACATATGCAAGTTAAGGCAAATCCCTATTTCTTGACTTCTGGAGATGAGCTCACAAGACCCTTTACTTAAACAGAGTCTTACAGTTTATGAAGCAATTAGAAAAAAAGAGTAAGTAGTCAGGGGAGTCTATAGAATTTCACAAACATAGGAAATAAGAATGAGCTTAATAAGCATTGTTAATTTCTAAACTTATATGGTTTGATTGCTTTTCTGGTTCCAAATAAGTAAATATGAAAAGTTAATTGCAGACTGCTCTTTTACATTGTGCACGTTTTGGAAATAAATGCCACCGGTAACGCACAACAAGAAACGCTGGTTGTTTATAGCTTCAAAATATTCAAATAAAAATAAAAAAGTTTTGTTTTCTGATCAAAAAGAGATTACCCAAGAGCCAGTATTGTGACACAGAGCAAACATGTGTAATTGCAGACTTTTTATGGTTCAACTAAAAACAACTTTCTTATCTTTACTCAGGTCAGCTTGCAGTCGGTCTGTTGTAAACTGAGAACAACCACGCAGTCTATTAAAACAAATCTTATGCAAACACACCCAGTAGTTATGGATGTAAGGGAAAATTTATGAATCGGAAAATGCACATGACCAAACTGAAGAGCAGCCTTCAACAGCAATGCAAAACCTGCATGTAAATAAGGGCAATATGGGATCAACCCAGTTCAACTTGACAGGTTACAACTCGGTAGTAAAATGACAGCAAAACTGATGTTTTAGGTTCTAAATCTGTTTCAGAACGATTTATTGAACATTAAAGATGTCTTGTGCTTTTGGGATTTTTTTTGCAGTTTTAGTTAAACAGCTGGAGCTATGTCTCTGAAAACCTTTTTAATCCCTCTCACTTGTCTCAGCCTAGAGATTTCTTCCTAGCAGCAGAACCTGCTGAGTGAAACCGAGTTTGTTAGCCGAGTTTATCCTTTCCAGCTGATGACAGCTAACAAATGTAAGATTGAACAAACCTCATTTATTATGCAAACATTTTAATAAATGTGTTTTAAGGTGGGAGGATTAATATAATAATTTGGGTTGATTCGCCTTTAGTTACGTTATCCCGACAACTTCTGACCAGTGTAAAATCTGTTTGCTGCAAATATTGCCACCAGAATACGCAGTGCTGAAAACTCTATAATTCACGATGTGACTGTCTGATCAGAAGATTAAAATCAATTGTGTTATTTAATATAAGGTGTAAAATACAGCCTGTGTAGATGAACTTTGCTTGGTGACAAGAGGCAAGAAGGTCTAATTGGTTAGCTTTCTTTTATTTCTTAAACAAAAAAAGACAGTAATACAATGCATTTTCACAAAAAACTAATACATCAGTGCATTAAAGAGAAAGATCCCTCTGAATATTTTAATTTACTTTATAAACTTTGTGGCATTAACGTTGGTCTAATGGATAAAAAAAATTGTGCTTCAAGGAATCTTAAATCAGTGCAAAATAATTGAGTTGACGTTTAAGAAGTGTGGATATTGTAGTTTTTAACTGGTTCCGATGTCAAAAAAACCTGAAAAAAAATTATGGAATATTTATAAAATCTCTGTTGAAGTTCAGATTTGAAAAGTCTAAATATGTTTGATTTGTTAGCTAGATACGCGCAGCTATAGTGCATACATAATTTAGAAGTTTTAAAGCCCTTTACTTTGGCTGTAAAGGACTTTAAAGATCCATTTAAAGATCTGAAGCAGATGCTAACTTTTGTAGCAGCTAGCAGTTAGCCAGTTGTAGTTTTTTCACAGTGAAAAACTTCCTTTTTGCCTGCTACTCTTTTTTTTTTGTCAGGTATCAAAATTCTACCACACAAATGTGCAACTTAATGTTGCCAGCTAGCCTGATGTCCTGTCTTTTGTACCCGACTCTGTCAACACAACTGACCAATAACTCAAAGGCTGGCTCCTCTCCTACTTCAAAATGACATTGATGCAGGGCATCAAGTAAAAGCACTCACCAACGGCCCATAATAATAGCCTGGACAAGAAGAGTATACCACACAGCACTTTACGAGAAAGATTTCACCTAGTCAAGAAGTATTATGTCATTTTCATGTTGCAACTTGAGGATTACCAAATGAACTTTACTTAATATTGCTGTGCTCTGCGCAAAGGCACAAATACACACAGTTAGGAATGTCCTGTTCGTCAGATTCAAATGTTGATTGCCTCTTTTCTTTTTCCCCTCTAGTCTCCTGGTTGCAATGGCCACGGTAGTGATGGAGCAGATTGGCCGGCTTTTCATCAACGCCCAGCAGCTCCGGCAGATCCCTCAGCTGCTCGAGTCAGCCTTTCCGACGCTGCCTTGCACTGTGAAGATTTCTGATGTCCCAAGGGTGTTCCGCGAGCGCCACATCCTTACGGGCTACAGGCAGACGGACCAAAGCTGGCGGTACTACTTTCTCACCCTCTTCCAGAGGCACAATGAGACCCTCAATGTGTGGACCCACCTGCTGGCGGCCCTCATCATCCTTGTGAAGTGCCAGGAGATCTCAGAAACGGTGGATTTTCTGCGCGATCCTCATGCCCAGCCCCTCTTCATCGTCCTCCTGGCAGCCTTCACCTACCTCTCCTTTAGTGCTCTTGCCCACCTCCTCTCTGCCAAATCAGAGCTCTCATACTACACCTTCTACTTCCTCGACTACGTCGGGGTGTCCGTCTACCAATACGGGAGTGCTCTGGCGCACTACTACTACGCTATAGAGAAGGAGTGGCACAGTTCAGTGCAGGGCTTCTTTCTGCACACTGCTGCATTTTTGGCTTGGCTCACTTGCTTCGGGTGCTGCTATGGCAAATATGCAAGGCACGACCTGCCCAAGTTTGCCCACAAGCTCCTCCAAGTGGTGCCGTCGGCGTTAGCTTACTGCTTAGACATCAGCCCCGTGGTCCACCGCATCTACAGCTGCTACTGGGAAGGCTGCTCCGACCCAGTAGTGTGGTACCACGTCTACCAAGTGATCTTCTTCCTAATCAGCGCCTACTTCTTTTGCTGCCCACACCCAGAGAGCCTGCTCCCTGGGAAGTGTGACTTCTTTGGGCAGGGCCACCAGATCTTCCACGTGCTGGTGGTGGTGTGCACCCTGATGCAGATCGAAGCTCTGCGAACTGACTTCACAGAGCGCCGCCCGCTCTACGAGCGTCTCCACGGAGACCTCGCCCACGACGCCGTGGCGCTCTTCATCTTCACCACCTGCTGCTGCGCTCTCACCGCGTTTTATGTGCGCAACCGTGTGCGTGCCTCCCTCTACGAGAAGAAGGAGTGAGGACGGAGTACGTCCAAAAGCAAGGAGGGTTAATTTATTTTACTCTATAGTGATGGTTTTAAAAATAATTAACATGTTTTTGTCTATGAGAAATATTGGTTTGTGACAGTGACTTTTGCTTATTTCTTCTGCCAAACTACAGTAAAGTAACGTGACTGAGGATGTGACACACAGTAAGGGAAGCTGGGACTGTGTTGGTAGCCATGCAAATGCTACTCAGCTGTTTTGCTTTAACATGTGAAAACTGTTATTTTATACAGGTGAGTAGATACATTGAAGAGTGATTCAAAAATTCCCTTTGAACTTTGTTCTGTATAAGCTACCTGCCTTAATCAGATTGTAGCATTTTAAGTTATGCAAACAGTTCAATCAAAATTCATAGGCTGGAATCTAATAATTCCAAGCCAAAATCCTTTTAACTGCAGATTTTACCCAGCCTTTTAGTATCAAAACAGGTATATTTGTCTTTAATGGATAGTCTTGACTTTTTTGAAGTGAGGTTATATAAAATTATTATAAGTAATAGTTTCCTTACCTGGCTGACAATGAGTTTGTAGAAAGAAAAAAATAATGAAACTTCAGTGCAGTGGTGGGGTAACAGCTGGTCTGATGGAAGGCCATGCAATGAAACAGGTTTAAAAGTCTGGTAGTACTTTTAGTTTAAACTAAAAATACTACTACTAAAAATATGGAGCAAAAAGTATCCCTGGAAAAATGTGGATTAAGAGATTTAGTGGATGATGTAGAGAGTTCAAGCAACGCTGATTTTTGAAACCGAATCTCAAAAATGGATCAATCCCCTTTAAGTCAAATATAATATTCTTGATATACATATATGCTGACGTTCCATCCTAGTCTGAGCTGAGCAGCGATTTGCTTCTCATACTGGTCATCAACTAGTCAGAAGCAGATCTAGGGTGACTTCATGGCAGGGCTGCAAAATATCAGAAAAGCACGCTGAAGTTCCCAAATACGGCATTAATGATTTATGATTAATCCACATATTCCTGGATTTCTTTATACATTTTCTTATTCATGTTTCTTTAGCATAATTGAGGACATTTTTAGTAAGCTACCTGAAAGCCACTCCTTGTATTTAAATAAGCCAACATTATTTATTTGGTGACCTTCTTTGAAAATGAGACTGGTACTCTGCATTGGTTCAGTGATGGATCACTGGAGTCTTTTTCGTTGTGTAACAAATATAATTCCTGTTGTTTTTTTTTTTTATCTAAGGGCTGAAGTGTCAGCTTTCGCCTCACATCCCATGATGTCAGTGCTTTGCGTGCATGTTTTTAATTAGTGACGGTGATGAGAGTTGAGCCACAAATGCCAAGTCTGAGTTGGAATGTTGAAGTTTTAGATTGTTTTTTTTTTGTTGTTTCTGTCTTCTTTTATGTGCCTCTACGCATGTCCTTTGGTACATACTGTGGATGTTAAGTGTGTGAATGTCAACGAAAGCTTAGCCTTGCACTTTTTTTCTTACCTTGTAAATAAGTTGTACTTCTCTCTAGAGAGTGTTGTCTCATTTTTACTACGTCTCACACACAATTCAGAACAGGTTTTGTTTTCTAATGGAGAATATCGCGTTCATATTTTTTTGCCAGACTTTATTGGTACTAATGCATTGTTTCATACTGCTGTTTTGTTACTTTGAAGAAGACGTTTATTGTCTTCAGAGCCCTTGGTTGACTTTTCTCATGAGACTTTCTCACATGGCTTTACAAGCAAATGTCACTTGGATTTTTGTCATAAAATCTCAAAATGTCAGAAATGATCAATATTCATTACCTCGCTCTCTGTTCACAACCGTGTTTAATGTGCCAATCAATCTGTTATTACTTCGGTGATGACGGTACTACTGAGAGATGACTAATCTGAATTTTTTTTTTTTTCGTCTCGGCCTACGATGCTGTTATTGGTGAAGTTTAAGCATCACAGTCCAAAACTGTGAAAGCCGAACGTTTTCTAACTTGGTCTCATTATGCACTGCCTGAATCAACATTGTACATACTGTAACTGACAGTGCTGGCTATGTTTACATGCATGAAAACTGTATTTCTTCTGGTTTTGCGTGGCTTCTCTGAGATGACGTGATGCAAAACAACAACAACAACAAAAACTAAAAAAACAAAAACAAAAAAAAACTTGAGGAGAAAGACTGGATTCCAGTTCAGCTGCAGTGAAAACTAGTGAACAGCGCGATTCAGGCTGTCTTCACGCAGTCTAATGCTTTACTGAAAGGTGTCTTTATAGGCAAATGATTTCCTGTTGGTAAATGATGTCTGTAAACATCTCACCAGCCCTACTTGTATAGTAGCATAAGGACCAAAGCAGCGACTAGGCATTTAACTTTATGTCCTCTGTGATTTATTAAAAAGGAGAGGGAACAGCTGTAGAGCTCATAGCAGCATGGATAATCTCATAGATTATCCTAGTTGTATGGTGACAAACTGTTCAGAATATGGCCAGTATTCTCTGTTCATGTGTATGTAAACATAGCCTCAGATGACACTTAAAGTTTCTCTTTATTCTTTTCAAAAAAAAAAAGAAAAAAAAAAGCAGGGTCAGAGGGATCAGAATGGTTTCTGTCTCTAACAATATCTGTAACTGTACTAATATGATGTGCTATTAAAAAAAATAAATAAAGTGTTACTGTAACTCAAAGAGTAATGTTTTTTTTTCCTCCCCCACCTAATAAATTTGACAAGGCATCAATTTTTGCCTTTTAAAGGAATTAAAACAGCATAAATATGTACAGTCAAGTTATATATTAACTTAACTGTTAATATACCCCTGGTAGATTTAAATTTCAAATGATTTTTTTACTTATTGTTTCCCATTTAAAATTAGACGAGACTTTCTCGAAAACAAGCGTCAAAGAAATGTTACTTTTAAGATATTTTTGTTTCACATTTAATTAAATATGGCATGTTTAAAAATATGTATACCCTTCACAATAAGCAGTGAAAAAAAGTTGCATTATGGCAATCAAAACATATTAATTGCTGACTAGCATTTTGCATGTTTCTGCTGGTATCTTGAAAGTTTATATTTGGTGATTAACTTCAATTCTTTCAGGTTGGAAAACCTCCTTGCAATCACCCTAATCTTCAGCTCTCTCCACAAATTCTTAATCAGTTAAATTAACATTAAATAGTTGATTTCGCAGATGGATCATGTTGATGTGAAAGTCTCACAACTGAAAAATAAACCTTCATATATCTCGAGCCCATATATAAAGATTGTTTCTACACAATAATTGCTGGCTGTACAGTGATGAAATTTTACAATCTGTTTTGCATGCATGTTTGGTGCACAACCCTGATTCAAAAATAGGACATTGTGGCAAATGCAGCAAGTCTTACATACTGTACACCCTTAATTGCACAACATGAACTCAAAACATACATAAGCTCCTGCGCTGTTGTATTGTAACACTCAAAAATGTTGCTGTTTTTTTGTTTTTTTCTTTTAGCAAATCACTGAAATTGTGAGTCAATGTTAAAGTGTCGGTCATGAATCAGTTGAAAGCAGTTCATGAACATGGCTGTCCACCTACACAGACAGGAAAGAAGCCAAAAAGATCCAGTACAAGATGAGCTGTGGAGATCCAGGCCCAGGAGGGAGAAGATGGAGATGATGATGATGATGATGATGATGATGATGATGATGATGATGATGATGTTGATGATGATGATGAAGCCAGGACTGGATGATGTTGGATGAACTGGAGGAGTGTCCAGGAATGAGGTGAGTATACCATCAGAGGTGGAGGCCAGCAGGTGGTGCTGTTTTGTGTTAATGGTGGCCTCTCACTAGTCTCTTTGTCTTCATGCTGTCATGATAGCCGAGAATACAGATTAACCAGTGAATGGATGGTCCAGACACAGCTGTCTTTATACTACGGTTGAGACACAGTCGCTGCACTCAGGTGATCTCCATTCCACTCATTGTGAGGCTATACGAGCTCCAACCGGCTGAACCTCTGTTGAATTAGGCCAGTCACTTTAAAGTGGGGAGGGGAGGAATATTTATGCAGGCATCTATTTGAATTTATATGTCTTTAGTTATCATCATTTTGTAAAAATCTATTTTTACTTTGACTTTGAATTTATTTTTATTTTTTTCCCCCCTGAATAAAGCCAAATTTTGTTAATCATGACTGATTTTTGTAAGCGGCAAAAAGACTAAACATTCAGGGGGGGGGTGAATATTTTTTCAAGTTTGTGGTTGGCATAAGCAGAATATAAAGAATGTCAACACACAGTAACTGTTCACCGTTTTGTTAACAGTAGCATGCATTTGCTATCGGCTGCAATCACAAGATTTTAACAAAAAGTGCTTTTGTACAGAAATTCTTCATTCTCTCAGTGCCTATGTTTGAGTGTAGACTCATTAGCCTCAACCTGCTACATCAGAGTTTTCAATGCCAGAGAGATACATCACTTTATGTTTCATATCTCACAGTGCCTTGAAAGCATATTGTTTAACCCATAACTCCATCAGTATTATGTGCTCTATCAAATGCATTACAGGCTGTTAATTTTATTTTCAGACCTTAAGCTGTATCCATTAAGTGTTAAATACCTATTACACAACTCAGGATCGCTTCTGCACCACTAGAGGGCAGACTTGTCATTTGATAAGAGTCCCGTTTTATTGCAGTATAAAACGTGACACTATCAGGCAGGGTATTTTAGGAATAAAATAATTAATAACGGGTTAATTCACAACCTGTTCACGAATACCTTTGAGGGTTTTTTTTTCAAATAAGTCGTTCATGACAATGGCGTTTTTGTTAGACTAAAAATGTGATCTATTACTCTGATCATTGGGCTGAAATATAATGACAGTAGTGATGTAATCTGAGCTGATTACTTTATGAAAAAAATAACTTGAACAATTCCTTTTATTCAACTCAATTAGCTCTAAATGGCTGCTGTAAAAAGAGCAACTTGTCATTTGGGGTTTCTCTCTATAGATGAGCTCCAACCTTTTGGAAATGTTTTTATCCCCCTCACCCCCAAAAAAGTGACATTTAAGCAGGTATAATTCCAATAGGGGGCACAAGAGATCCTCGTGTATTTCTAAATATAACCCTGCTACGTTATTGATGTGCCTCAGCACTTTATAAAGCACATGGGGGTCAGTTTAGATACATTTGTTGTGACCACTCACATAATTCATTACAAGCCATTTATATCTTTGATTAAACCGCAACTTATCACAAACTCTTCCCCTCCTTAAAAAGAAAAATCAACCTTCGGTGGAAATAAATAGTTGAGTCATTTGCATAAAGAAGAACATTGACCGTAAATCAATCCTAACCCTGATCCTGGAGCAACATCTAGCCCACACTGCAGTTTGTGGGTGGCACATATAGTTTAAAAGTCTGTATGCTAAGGAGAGGTTGAGATGATTCTGATTCTTTTTATTTATATTTACATGGATTTCTTATTACATTTTGGAGGATTGTGTGGGTTTACAGATCACTTTGCCTTTAGTTTGTATTCATGAGGAGTACTGTTTATGCTGATCAACTTGACTTTATGCTCTCCACGTATGTATAATACATATTTTTTTCCTCTGCATGGAGGTGATTTCCTATTTTGTGTTAATGAGAACAAGGTAGTTATGGACAAGAATCATTGAATTTTAAGCCCAGAAATGGGCTCTAGGTACGTCTGTGTTAGATTTGATTAATTCACAGTAATACACACTCAGACGGTCCTAAATCAAATGGCAGAGATAGTGATAATTGCCTTACAGGCTGCTTCCTGTCCTCTAACTATCAATTTCTTTCTCAGACTCCATCAATTTTCAGAGGTCTGTTTCTGGAGCCGCTGAGCGTCCCTCTCTTTTGTCCTCACACGTCTCCTTTCCTCTCCTGGCCGCTTTAAACAAGGACCGCTCGTCTCCATTTCTTTTCTTAATGCTTCATTTGCTTTGTGCGTGTTATGTTGGGGTTATGGAGGAAGTATAGTTGCAGGTCTATGTTGTGTTTTGTACCTAAAGGTTTGACTTGTTCAACAGCCTTGCTCACAGCCGTTATACTTCTTTCTATTTCTGGCAGGTGACAGACAGCTTGAAGACTTTATTTTGCCCCCTGTTTACGTTGGGCAAATATATTCTGTGATTCCATCTACTTTCCACCAACATATTTCTGTTTTGTAAAGTTGAGCTAATTCCAATTTCTCACCAGAAACTGAAAATAAAGAATAAACCAAAAGCATTTTTTCAGCATCCGTCCCTACATGGTCGATAATTGTTTATAGTGGGAGCAGAAGGAATGTCACATGTATGTGTGTCACTCTGCAACAGGGTTCAGCATTATTTTAAAACCAAAAACAAAATGATTATAAAGTTTACATTTTAAGCTTAAATTGTCTTTAGCAGCTTATAAAATCAATTAGTGCTAGTTGTGCTGTTAGCATGGCTAGCGTGACAAAAACTGCTGCCTCATGTAACGTGGGAAACGTATATCTTTACATTAACTTTGGGAGTTACAGAAATCTACCCACATTTTCTAATTCCAACATGTTTCAAGAGATGGAAAGCTAAAAGGGATCGAGATGCAACTTTGTGTAATCTATTCAGACTTCCTGTCATTTGCTGAAAGTCTTGCTCTCTCTCGCAGGCAGCCATGTCTCAACATACTAAAAACATCTCATTTTCACTCTTCTTCCCTCAGTAAGAGTGGCAACATCAAAGCGTGTTGTTGTCAGCATGACCTGGAAGTGGTTAGAATGGTGCATTAAGGAAAAAAATAAATAAAAAAGGCTTCTGAACTGCTAGTACCTACTTAATCAACCTGAAGATTGGGAAGTTCTGGTCACCATTAGATTTCTCAGGGCAGCTAAGTTATAAATTCAAATTAGTTAGTTTTTTTTTTTTTTTTTGAGATTGGAGTAATTTCAAGACCAAAGGACTTCAGTTTAGTCTCAACTGCACTAAGACTGACTGGTAACTTTTGCTAGTTCAAATAGTCTGGATTTGTAATGTCACCAAAAATAATATATCACCCCTAAAATCTTAACTACTTATGTAGTTGTATCAGAATCTTATTAAAAATAATAAAATATTCAAATTCTTCCACTATAACATTTGTCAACTGTGGTTCAGGAGGCTTGGCTCTGTATCGTAAGTGCTGGGTTGCCGTTTCGAACCCCCTTGCTGCCTGGTTCAGTCGTTGTGTCATGTCGTGTGGTTTTTGCAGAATGATCCAAACACAGACAGGAATTGTCACAGAATGCATGTTTAACGGAGAAAAGGCAAATCAAACAGCTGAGCGTGGTAGGAACAAACAAGGTAAATGACGGACTAAATGCACAACGTAAGCAACAAAAGGAGGCAGCGGAGAACAATGTGACCCCAGAGCTTGAGCCCACTGGGGGAGAAGCGAAAGCAGCAAAGAACCAGAGGGACTAATCAGACGTCAATGGGAAGCAGCTGGGTGATGAAAAGTAAGATGATAGAGAAAACCTGAGCTGAGAATCAGGCAGACAAGATGAAGGAAAAAGGAAACTAAACAGAGCAGAGGAACAGAAGCTATTGGACTTAAAGAAACTTGAAACTAATATCCACAGTAGACAAAAACAAACAAAACAGAAAAGAAAAAAAGCAACAATGAATAATAATAATAATAATATATTAATACAGGGAATAAAACAATGGCAAGATATAGGGAAATAAACAACAAATCAACCATCAACACAGAAATGTTACTAAATGTACAAAAGTACAGTTCATTTGCCATTTTATCATATTAGCTTCACATCACAGCAAAACAGAAATGGCTCATTAAAATACGCTTCCTTGCCTCTTTTTGTATATCTAATTATATATAAATCATGCTGTCACACATGCAGCAATGTTAAAGGTAAAGTGAGAAAAGTGACTGAAATAGAAAACTCGTCTAGGATGTCTAATTAGAACGGAAGAAAAGCGAGATGATATTTAGGACTCTACTGTCTCAATCAGAAAGGATTTTGAAAAACGTGTTTCTCCTCTTGTTGACATTTAAATAAATGCATTGTGAATAACACCCTGTGGAGAAGATCAATGCTGCTGTGCTTTTAAACATGAAGGTAGAAGAGAGTTAAAGAGCTCTGCCATAAAACTTAAGAAATAAGGAGGAACAGCTGCTAGGAGGTTTTATTGTAACAATTTAAACAAATTAAAATACATTATATAAATTAGAAAAACAATTTTGGTGCATTGTTAAAGTTAGGGAGCCTAGAAATGTTTTTAACTGATTTTTATTTTATCTTCAGATGGAGAAATACTGAATTCATTCATAGCTGCCTGTTTGGTAGAGGTTTAAATGAAGCTGGTCTGCTGAGATTTACACAAAAGAAAACAAAACAGAAAAAAACAGAACTGTGGCCGATGATGCTTCTTACTTTTACTGGTGGTACCCTTGGGAAAGATGTAAAAGAAAAGCCCTAAAGTAAATACTAAATAATTAAAATAGAATGTGCTGACTCCATCATTATGTTTAGTTTAGTTTTCTAATGGTAAATTGTAAGTGAAAATATAGAGCCTTAGTGACACCTAGTGGACATTGTTCATGTGTTTAATTTGGTCAGTCAAGCAGAACTCGTCCAGCTGCACGCATGGTGTCATCGATTGTCCTTCAGACACGTTTGTTCCTTGGACACTATTTGTCTGTAAGTTCATTTCATTAACTGTAATTTCATTATTGTGTTATATTTTATAAGAAAAGTTCTATGTTTCCCAACCAAAATTTTCTGTTATATCGTTAGCTAATTGGTGATAATTGGGAGCCATCGGTTTGCTGTAGTCTAGTCTAGTTGTTTTCTGTGTATTGTCTGTGGTTGATATGTACTTTTGTGCTTTATTACAGTTTTACAGATATATAAAAAGGAAAAACCAACAACAGTTGCAAAATAAAACAATAAAACTATCAAGGACTGGATTATTTCCGACTAAAGTGTTAGCTAGCTGTCTAGCTTTGTAAGTGCAACACATTGTGAGGGCAGCATATAGAATATTTTATTAAAAATGTCTTTAATTGAAAGGACCTAATCTAAAATCACTCTTTGATTATGTTAATAAATTGTTTTTCCTTCTTTTTCATTCGCCCCAACAATGCATAGTTGGTCAAAGCTATCCTAAACATTATATTGTTTTGATGGTTAACATATATTGTGAATAACACAAATAACGGCGAGGAGCTATTTTCTTCCTGATTTCAACACATCTGCTTTAACTGACATGCTCTCATTTGGAAATGAGAAAAACAGAACGTCATGTATTACTGAGCAACAATTTGGCTATTCAGTTTACAAAAAAAAAAAAACAGGTTGAGTTTGTTGTACTTCAAATTTTGAATCTTATATAACAAAATGTAGTCACGACTCTTTAAAAAACACAAATAAAATATCCCTTCAATTTCTAAACAGGAATCTCAAATAAAGATGCAAACTTTGGGGTTATTAGCCAGCCTTGTTATGTTTGCATAATTTCTTCCAATCCACTATCCTAATTTAAAAACAAACACAAAAATGCAATGGAAAACTAGTTTGGTTCCATACAACATAACTTTCCAAGTGCTTGTGGCGCCCCATGACAGAATGGCGGCCTGGGCAGGAATCCATTCAGCCCTCTTCAAAAAACCACCACTGGACGAAGCAATAAATCCTACAAATGCCATCTTGGTGTAATAAATCAGCCATCCTGAAGTGTGTGTGGATTTTTGTGGAGTTTTTATCTTGTCCACATGCATATGAAAACCGACTCAGAGTCCCCATCTCACTAATGGAAAAATGCTGAGCTCGCAGCTGAATGAAATACGCAGAAGACGGAACATGATGCAAAACAGCTGCAACAAAAATATAGCTTTTTTTTCAATGGCATAGAAAACAAGTGACAAATACCATCTATTGTATGTAGGAAGGACATTTTAAAGGACATGTAAATGGCAAGATAGTGGAGAAAATCATGCGGTGGAGAAAATGAGCTGCGGAAAGTCGATATTATTTCTGGTCTAGTGCACTTGGACATCTGCATCCTGACATAAATCTCATCTGTGTAACATCAGGTTAAATCTTAGAGCCATGCAGCCTATTTGCAAATGGTTACTTTTGTCGCTTAAGACTCAAGTTTTCACCGTCATTATTCTTTCTTTATTACCGCGGATCATGTTATTGTTTCCCCCAGTAATATTTAGCAGCACACTTTGAGTTTCTACAGTTAGTTCTTGTGCAACTCCCAGAAGTGTCTCCCATTAGCCACCATTCTGTGTATTGTTGATAAAACTGCATCAGAGCAATGAAGTGCAGAGAAAGTAAAGACATAAAATCTAGATAAAACACATTGCAGAGTCATTTCTGAGGCTGATGATCCCATATGCTGGAAATATGCGACTGCCTTTGACAAAAAATAACAATGAGACAATGATTCTGCGCTAATACTACTTAAAAAGTAGATCAAGCATGAAAAACTTAGCTTGCATTTTCAAAGTTTTACAGACAGCGGACTGTCCTCTGAATTTAATGTCAACCTAATATATTCCGTCTTGTCTAAAAGAGACTCTTCTTACCTCCTCTTCATCTTTGCAGTTGCCTTGATACTGCTTGCTCCACCAATCAGGTTGCCCACTGATGGGGCCTATTCATCATGAGCTGGTTGAAGAGATACTGCGGGCTGGCAGAGGTGAGGAGAAGGCACGTGTGTCCTATCTGAAGGTCTCTCTTTCTTGCCAATGCCCGTAACCACTCAAGGATAATGAATTCTCCCATCCTCCCCCTTTAACCTCCCTGTACGGCCAGGTTACAAATACCCAACAACATTATACGGGAGATAACCAGAAAGTGGGAAAAGTTTCAGGTAGGCGGACGGTGTGTTTGTCTCTCAGCAGGACTGTGCAAGTGCAGCTCAGGGGGATCAACTTGTTTTTCCAGGTGCTGCTGTTTGAATAAGCAGACGAAGAATAAGCAGACAACACCATCCTGCTTCTGCTGCATTACCTTGAACTACTGTAAATATCAGGACTGTTTCGGTCTTGCATCATCTTGCGTCTCCGGTAGCAACACTTGGTTTTGTTAGTATTAAACCGAGAGCTTGCTGCCTTTTTTTTCTCTCTCTCTCTTTTCAGGAGTCTTAAAGAGTTTGGCATTTATGTAATGATCGATGAACAAAACATTTTCTACTGCTGTCAGAGTCCCAGAAGATACCTGTGATTAGCGCTGGTTCTGTGACGAGCTGCACACAGAAGTATTGAAAGGAACCACTTATTTTCGAGTACCAAGCTTGCAAAGCTGAATTATAGACTGTGCACAGTATTTTACAATAACGGCTTAAAAGAGAGACTATATTCACTGATGCAACTTTTGCTCTGTGTTTGCCACGTGACCTGCTTTGTGCTGAACTCAGATACTAACAGCAGTGAGTATTAAGCTGTCTTTCACAAAAAAAAAATTGTTTTGAAATGAATCTAGCAACTTTTCTGGTGTCTCTAATATAAAATCAAGTCATGAAAAGCCTTACTCTTCTCACTGATCTGCTGGATCAGTGAGAAGAGTAAAGCATTTTCTCATCCCAAAGCATTCACAGGCATCTCAGTCCATGTGCAGCAGGCCTTCCCAGCTGCAATCTGACCATGAGCTGTTCATCTGTCTATGCCCAGACCACAAAAGCCCTTGCTTGTTGACATTGCTTACCATTGTTATTGAAGGCTCCGAAGTGGATGATAGGGTTAAAAAAACAAAACTGATTTTGGAAAAAAAAAAAAAAAAAAAAAACCCTAAGAACCTGTACATTAAATGAATTTAATTAATAAAGAAGAGCAACTTTTTCAGTGTCTTTTTTTGGAATGATTGTTGGAATTGTATCAAATATACATAAATAAAATCAGGAATTTTCAAAAGGTATATCATTTCTAGTTTTAAACATGCAAATCAATAGATTGATTATCAATACATAATCAATAGACAGATATTTTTCCTCTGTCCTCCAGTTCCCATTACATTGACATTGCTCGTAGCTAAGTATGCAAATTGCGTTATGACATCATTTAGCCACTTCCAGCCAAGTCCGCCGCCGCTTTGCTTGCTGGAGACACTGATCCCCAGAGCACAGCTGAAACACCAAATCTGACAACATTCAAAGGAAGGTTTATAAAGTACAAAAGGAACTTTTTCTTTCTGTTTTGTCTGCACATAAAACTGGAACTACTCATCAAAACAGAGAGGAAGCAGGCTAGGATCAAAAAAGTGAAAACATCAGCATTGAAGTGTTCACTGTACGTGTGTTATTTGTACATGTCAAATCAGAAATATGTTGAAAATTTGTCCGAACACCGTAGCAACTTTTTTGACCTTTATCGGAACGTCTTTAGTTAAATTAAAACATTTGAAAAGAGCAACAGCAGAAAAACATCTATCTTGTTGAAATGTTAAACAGAATGAGCGACGATAGTCTTAGAGCTATAGGATATAAAATCACCACAAACTCATACATTTCTTTACTTTCCACGAGTAGTCTGTCTGTTCCTACACTGAGAAGCCATTACCTAAAGATTCTCGTCTTCCTTCTCCTCCTCCGCAGATTTTTATTTTTTATTTTTTCAAAAGCCTCCAGATGGCTCAGGCTCTTTTTGTTGGGGCCCATCAGCATGCTTCCCGCGCTGATCTCTGCTTGCTGATACACACTATTTGATTACCCGTGCACCTGCAGCGCTGGTTTCAATTTTCAGACAGAAGGGTTTGAGTGAGCTTTTCACACTTGTTTCAATAGAAAATGAGAAGTCATTTCAAGCCTCCCTTCAGTCAATACGGTCAATGTCGTTACAGTTTCCCATAAAGGAAATCTCAGTTGAAAAATGTTCTCATGATAGATTGATTAAAGTAACTTTTTATCCTTCTTCCCTCAGAGGATTTTATAGAGAAACTCTTAAATACATTTCTGCTAAGGTGGCGATGTGATAAAAGGGGCATGTTGCTGTGGAATTTATCGGCTCCGTTTCTCAGTTGACTTCCTGTTGCTCAAAGTCCAGAAAATGTTGAAATCGGCAACACTGCCCTCGGCCTTGTGTTACAGACTCGTCCTGCTTACTCAGCAAACTATTCAAGCAACCCGGAGAGATTTTGTGTTTTTAATGTTTCAGTAAATCAAGATCTGAACTTTCCAAGGATACGTTGCATTGTTTTGACTGAGCTTGAAACTACTCCCATCAATAACTGCATGTTTTCATTTTTACATAAGCAATGCATCAAATGTCTCAGCAGCTGCACAGTATGCAGTACCTCTCATTTCAAAGGAGTCCCCAACTGTTTAGGGATGATACATTGTTTTTAAACCAAAAATAGATCATTAGTGGGGATGACGCATTAAATATGGAAACTAAATAAACAACAAATAAATGAAATAACATATTTAATATACACTGGTTGCATTCAAATGTGGAATAATGCTAAGTTATGTCGTGTTGTATAAAATATTCTTTAATGATTCAGAATTTATCAAGACATTTTTTTTGTGTGCATCCAATGTAGAACTTATTTATAACCAGAACAAATATAAATCAGCACTTCATTGTGAGCTCAGGAATTACACTTACTTTTATTTCACTCACAAATAATTGCTTAAGCGGAAGAAAAACACACACGCATACATCTAGCAAGCAACTGGTAGACAAATAATCTACAAAGATCTACTTAGGGATTTTAGTTTTTGGTGAGGAAAGTACTACGTCATAAATGTTTAAAATTTATCAAGAGTTTGTCAGTCTCATAAATTAACTTCTTTTGTCCTGGTACTAAGCTCTAATCCCTTAATTTTATCTTAAAAAGGTAGAAAATAAATGCAGATAGAACTCAAACGAGCCTGTCAGTGTGCTGCACCAGAATGGCCACAATAGCAAAGAAAATGGTGTTTTGATGAAAACAGATGTTGGTTGTGCAGCTCTCGTGGGGCCAGCTTACAGCATGTTTCAGTCTATGTAGGTTTTAAAGGTTTTCGGTTTTCCTCTGCAGCAGCAGTTCTGTCTTATAAAGGTCACCTGTTCCCTTGAGGTTGAAGCCAGTAAAACTCAGGTAGGAGTCCCAAAACTCGTGCTTACGAGGGACTGATCAAACCCATCAGGAGCAGAGTAGGAGTTATATTTGTAATGCCATTAAGGGGTGGATTTCATTACTACTGTCAGATATACGAGAGACTTCTCAGTTTCAGCCATGATAGCTGTCATACGACTGAGGCTGTTTCACCTTTCAACCATTTCATATATGTAATTCTTTTACTGACACATTCAAAGTGTGATATCTTTGTGAAACCTCCTGAAATTGTATTTTTTTAAAAAGTTTTTTCAGTGATGCAAAAGAAAAAAACAAAAACAAAACAACCCCCCTTCTCTCCCCTCCACAAACCCCCCCCAACAAAACAAAAAAAGTACCACTGATAAGAAGTCTTGGTTGGTTTTATGAGGATCTGGCAAGAAGCAATTCCAATAGGTTAAAGTTCACAGAAAGAGAAGGCCTCTCTGCATAGGATTCTCACTAAATTGCATGTCTGCTGTTCAGGGACGCGGAAATAAAAATGTACAGAAATGGATCAAAATGAAAATTACTTGTATATTTTTATAGCCTCTGAAGTGATGCCCGTTTTCAAAATCTTTTTTTTAACACATTACCAAGACAAACAGTGAGTTGAGGCTTTTAAAATCTAAAGAGTTCTTATGGCCTGTCACTGCGAAATGGACAGTGAGAGATGGCCGTCATCCTTGAAAATGACAAGAAAAAGGCTTTTAGGATGATGAGTGGTTGATGTGACAAAGGTATTTCTGGCTAAGTGCCCCTTCTTTACCTGTCAAGGACAGGGAAAAGGACACTGAAAATCCTCCATGCAGCATCAGTTCTGCTTTGTTATATTTTAAAAATATAAGATTTTATAAGGACTTACAAAAAAAAAAGTTAGCAACTATCTGCAGTCAAAGTGAAGAGAGGAGTTTTTTTTCCTGTCAGAAATTGCCATACAGTATTTTTTTTAGGCATGTTTCTTCTGTGCTTAGCTTAAAATCTTGTGAGAATTTGATAATATTTTAGTCATTTATATAGAACAGTCAAAGTCAGAAACGTTAAATCACACAGTTAAGCCAAAAGTTATTCATACCGCCGGAGAATTTAAGCTGAAAGTAATCTTTGAATTTGACCAACATCCTTTGTCTGACAGGAAGTGATGTCAGCATTTTGGAGCAGCCCAGCCAGAATCCTGACTTGAATCTGGTTGAGAACCCATCACTAAATGTTGAAGTGATGGCAAGGAGGCCTTCTCACCTCAAAGAGTTCATAATTAAGGTAAATTTTCAAAATACTAGTGGAAACATGAGAATAGGTGGTCAGCATTTAAAACAAGGGTTTGGTGCCTATAAGTCCAAACACATTTTTTCCATTAACTACTGAGAAGGGTACACATAATTTTCAACATGTAATTTTTTTAATACAATGTCAGTGTAAACCTTTTTTTTATTTTAGATAATTTTAGCATTTGGATTATTTTTTTCAGAAATGCCTGTCCCATTTGGCTTTTAGAGGAAACCTTGAATAAAAATGATCTTAAACCTAAAGCTGCCAGGCGTATGAATAATTGCAGGCTAAAAGTAACTGTAGAAACCCGAAACATAAAATTGATTTTTATGTAGTGTAACAGCAGAGCAGTTAACAATTGAGCCATTTAAGTCTCTTGAATAATGCATTGTACTAATGCTGTGTAACGTTTATTGAACTAAACGTTACACAATATTAATGGGAGTAACTAAGATGTGCATATATAATTCTCAACAATTAGTTAATAGCAAAATATTCAATAATTGTTCAAAAGATGAAAAAAAAACAACAAACAACCCACCTCACCTTAAACCTATGAAAGCAATATTCCAGGAAGGTCCAGGAAGCGACATTATTGTACATGGAAGAAGCCCTAAAAAAGCTCATCACGACTGGAAGGTCAGCCTTCATCAGCCGTTCTGTGTGAGACATTCTTGAAAACAGCTGCAGAGTTATTATCAAAAGTCAAGTTGTCAGATAAATCCAGTTTGTTTTACCCAGAAAGCACGGTGAGCAAAAGCTATTGTTGGTTTTTATTTTAACCTTCCGAAGTCAGAGGTCATCTTTTTCATTTTGTCTGCGTTGACATTAATGTCGAGTAGGAGCAACAGTGCTCGTCTTCTTTGACTTTTAGAGGTAATCTGAAAATGTACAGTCAGCTGTTGTTTGTTGATTCTGTGCTGAGCTCTGATGCATCAATCTATCTTTAGGTTTTATCAGCTATAACTATCTCTAAGCCACATTCTACTGTGTGGATTCAAATTTGATCTAAGTGATAAAAGAACAAAACGTATGATCTCCTGTAATTCAAAAATAATAACCAGGAATCTCCCATCTGTTACTAAGACTGAGCCAATATCTGAAAACAAATACTCAGAGAATCTGACTGATGGATCCCTCATGTGCAGCAGTGGATTATAAAGCTGAAGTTAAAGCTTGTTTTCTTCTTAAAGTCTGGTATTTCAATTTAGGCCTAAAACTAACAACTTTCTGCCACATTTGTGTGTATATTTTACTGTTAAGTGTCTTTTTTTAATGGAAACTACATGCCTGTATTATTGTATGCCATTGTCCCAGAGGTACATCAGAAACTTTATAGCTCTACTTCACAGTGGCTGTGATAGTGCCGATGCATGCTATGGAGACTTGATGCAATTCATTGCTGCAGTTCTCCAATAGAGAGCTTAATGCATTTTATTTTTACCTCATGATTAGCTATTTTTGTTTTATTTTGTAAAATAAATTAGATTGTTCCACCTGAAGGTTTTCTCACACTTGCATTTTCAAAGTCTAAATGTAACACGTTTGAACGTACAGCTCGGAACATTGGTACTATTTTTTCCCCTCCTTCTCTATTAATCTGTTTGTTTATTGTCTGATATCTCATTTTATAACCTCCTTGCCTGTGAAAATGTTTGACCTGATTGACTCCCTCCAAACTTGCTTAGCTGTCAAATCTATTTTTAAGAAACCCAGTTTTTACTCCACTCAGCCAAATAATCACAGGCCCATTTCTAAATTACCTTCCACTTAAAAAAATATTCGAAAAAATTGCGGCTGAGTGAAATAACTTACTTGTTTTCAGGAAAAAAATAAAAGGTTTTGTGTTTTTGTTTTGCACTGTTACTTCAATAATTTTGAATTATTCAAACTGTCTGAATTACTTGAGTGCCAAAAAGAAATCAGTAGCAGGTAAAAAAAAACCAAAACAAACTTTCTTCTCCTAGAAAACAGAGTGATGGTCGTTGGTTGGAAAGCAGAGCTCTTCTGATCAGTGTGTTGTTGTTTCCAACCTTTACAAGATCATTCAGTGTATAACCATGACAAATTAATTTCCAAATATTTTCAAATTAAGAACTTGATACCGTTATTCATGCTTATTTATTGTTGCATAGACTCATGAGTGAATAAAATAGTGATTAATTACTTTCAGCTAGTCGGGCCTCTTAATAATCACTCTTGTTTGGGCACTGCTTACCTGCTTATTTTAACGTCCTGACTTTAACTTTCAGGGTCAAGATATTTCTCCAACGGCAACACAAAACGGGGACGAGCTGGCAGTTACCGGTTGCTATGGTAACCGCCGTTCGTCAAGAGCAACCCAACATAACTTATAGCAATAAATGTCAGGAGAAATAACTTTTCAACTTGACAGAATGAATTTGAAGAGTACATAAATTTTGACACACTTCATATTTTTCAATTATATAT